GCCTGTGGGGTGCTCTGGGAGGCTTTGGCAGTGGAGGACAGCAGCACACACAGGGCATTCAAGTGGCAGTGTGGAAGCCTAGCCAGGCAGGTGCTGGCCATGACAGTGGGGATTTGGAGGACGGGAGGGCTGGAAGTAAAGCAGTGCTGAGGATTCAGAATAGACTGCCTAGGGCCCTCAGTTCCACTGAGGTATTTGAATTTTGGTTCATAGTTGGTGGAGAATCATGGGACGTTTTTAAGCAGAACCAGGATCGATTGAGAAACACTACCAAATTGGGCGCCTCCCATTGGAGGGCCTGCAGACAAGGCAGGTGCCCCTGAGGGAACCTCTCAAGTAGTTGTCAAGGCAATAGGAAAGAGAGTGGAATGAGATGGTCATCATTACCTAAGTGTAYGTATGAAGACACGAATGGTGTGACTCTACTTTGTGTACAACCAGAGAAGTGAAAATTGTGTTCTGTATGTGTAATAAGAATTGTAATGCATTCTGCGGTCATGTATAACAAATTACAATAAATAAATTTTTAAGTAAAAAAAAAAAGGTTCGGGGGAAAAAAGAAAAATTGGATTCCAGAGCCAAGGAGCCTGGCATGATGGAGAGGCTGCAGTATGCCAGCAGGAAGGAATGGAGAGGAGCACAGGAAAATGGGACCCCCAGACTGAGCCCACAAGCGTGACCCTAGGGAGGGGAGCCACTGCAACCCAACAGTCTTCGTAGGCACAGCCCGGGTCCCACCTCAGGGCTGCAGAGGAAGAGCACACACTGCCTCACTCCTCACAGCCTCTCCCGTTGCCCACGCCTGCCTTTGTGTGCCATGCTGTGACCACCCTAGGCCTTGGGGTGTGTTTCCAGCAGCCCCCTCTCTGCCTCAGACTAGGCCAGGCCCGTCTGCCTCCCCAGCCCTGCGTTGCTGTCGCAGCTTCCCTTTATCATGGGTGTGCATGGGTGATGGTTCCAGGCTGACTCTCAGGACGCTGGAAGGTGTCCTTAGCACAGACCAGGAGCTCAGAAAATACGGGATATGTGAATGTCCAGTCAGAAGAGGAAAACAGACTGGACAGTACAGCAGCAGAGCACGGTGGCGACCCAAGCAGTGCCAGGGGAGTGAGCACTGCCTTGCTGAGCCCAGGGGCGCTCAGAGACTGCTCTTGAGGAAGGGGTCCTGGAAGGGAGAGTGTGCTGCTTCACAACGAAACAGTGGGGTGGCCCTCTTTGAGATCTTGGGCCTTCTAGTGTGAAGGTCACACCCAGGACGTCCCTCAGGTGAGCTCACCCTTGGCTTCACATACTTGGTTAATCCCAGTGTGTACACCTCGTACCTGGTGCTGCAGGTGACAGTGCTTCTACAGAAGAGCGGCACCTAGCATCAGGTGTTGGTCATGGACAGAGAACGGCAGCTCCACTCTTGATGTACCACGTCCACCTCCAATTGTTTGTAAGTAGTTGGCTGCTAAAACCCACTTATGTTTCTTCCTGGTGTTGTAGGTTCATTTTACTGGCCTGTGATGGGCTCTTCAAGGTCTTTACCCCAGAAGAAGCCGTGAACTTCATCTTGTCCTGCCTGGAGGTGAGCAATTTCACAAGGGTGTGCCAGTTATCCCAGCTGCACCTCCATTTCTAGAGAAGCAGAAGTCCCAAGGCCCTACGTCCGTGTCAGGGGCAGCCCTTGTGTTCCTTATTCAACATGAGCTCTGCCTGGGGGACTCACTGGTCACTTTGCCCTGAACCCTGATAGGCACAGAGCAGTCTCAGGAGGATGACAGGGAGCAGACAGAGCCCCTGCTCACTCAGGCCCCTTTCTCATCTGGTAGGATGAGAAGATCCAGACCCGGGAAGGGAAGCCTGCTATAGATGCCCGCTACGAAGCTGCCTGTAACAGGCTGGCCAACAAGGCGGTGCAGCGGGGCTCAGCGGACAACGTCACAGTGATGGTGGTGCGGATAGGTCAATGAGGCGCTACCCGCAGGTGTTGGCTTGCAGGTTCATTCACGTGTGCACACTGTGTTTTGTGTACTCCTGTGGGGCTCCATGGTTGTAAATAAAGGTTTCTTTTTTTTTTCCTAGTCTTTTGAGTCCTCATATTACCCATCAGGCTTCGTGTGCTTGCCCCGGAGTACACTCTGCATCTTTTCCTGGTAGGACCCCTTGTGGGCATCATAGGCTAGTTCTCCAAGACCACATGCTCTTTCAGCCTCATGATGGCCCCCACAGGGCCAGTTGTACTGGTTAGGGATGAGGCTAGGTCAGAACCAGGCTTTTGGAATCCTGTGGCTCCATTCAATTTTCTGTACAGAAATAGCGTTAAAAATTGTTACAGGAGCCCAGGGCTTGGCCAGAGCTAGGCCCATATACCAGGCTCTCCCTCAGGGCCTGCCCTGCCAGGCCCCAGCAACAGTTTGGCCCATTCCATCTCCTGTGCACTGCAGACTGGCTGAAGGGTTCTGGAATGCTGGCTTAGCAGGTCTTAGTCTGGCTCCCCTGGGTCTTCAGAGTGCATGGCTCATCATGTGCCATCCAATACAACCTTGGCAGGCCCCTGGCAGGTCTGTTTGTAGCCAAGGTGGACCCTCAGAATATCAGCCCAGAGGGCCCTGCTGTGTAAGGTGAGGGATGGGTCAAATGTCAGCCTATGCTCACACAGAACTGCCATTTTTTATTTTTTTAATATTTATATTTTGGTGTAGATGGACGCAACACAATGCATTTTATTTTTATGTGGTGTTGAGGATCGAACCCGGGTCCCGCCCATGCTAGGCAAACGCTCTACCGCCGAGCCACAATCCCAGTCCCCAGAACTGTCATTTTTTAAAGCAGCTCTTGGCTCCTCTGAGTGTTGAGCCTAGGATGGTTTGCGTGGTCTGTGGTGCTCGCTGGCCCCACCCACTGCACACGGCTTATCAGCCATCAGTCCTGGTGGTGAGCTGGCTCTTCAATGTGAACCTTTCATGTAAACCTGGGGTCGGCCGTGGGAAGACCATAAATAGAACAAAGAGCTGACCGAGCCACCCCTCCCCACAGTGTTAAAAGGTAGGTATCCATTTCTGCTTGGAGACTGGGACACTAGATTGTGGCATCCAGGAAGAACAGAACTCCAGCACCTTGGAGTCTGTCAGTTTATTTGGTAGATGTCTTCCTACAGCAAACCAGGTGTCATTCTGTGTCTTGAAGGCTGTGGTTTGTCTCTCTCTTAAGTGCCCATTCCCTTCTGGGTGAGGCTTGGCCCTGGCACCCTTGGCAAGGTCCCCCCCTGCCCATGCAGGGGGAGTCCCCTCCCACCCTGCAGCTGGGGACTACCTGCATCTCCTTGGAGTTCAGCACTCCTGGTGGTTAGGGCTAAAGGGTCAAGATTCTGACTCTCAGATCTACCCCCTTTTTTTAATAGCTTTGTGTGGTCACATCACACGGTAACACACGTCAGTTATATAAATATCTCCTTCCTGGCAACATTATACTATGTAACATGCTTACATTGGGCAAAGACGTGCGTGTGCAGCTCTTTCAAGGGAAAAGATAACTGTTAACAAACTGAAATCCAGGATGGGTGTGGCCACATCACCCCTTTATCAAAGTGCACGGGAGTTGGGACCCAGGCCAGCCTGGTGCTTCTTGGTAGGGTGGATACAAGTCCTACCGAGAATCGGACCAGGCCTGCCCATGGGGCCCATAGTGGTCAGTTCACCTGTACCACTGCTTTGGCTGCCTGGCTTGCAGGTGTTTGATTTTGAAGTGTGGGCAAGGAAGCTAGGGTCCTTCCACCCAGCTGCCCTTGAGTGACTGTGGCATTGTCACCTTCTCTCCTGGAGGCTTGGGCACCCCTGAAGTCCTGTGGCACCACGTCTCTTGCAGCCTGTGTTTTTTGGGCCAGCTCTTCCTTAGCAGGCAGTGGGGCCCTGGAGAGGACTGCTGGGGCCTTGTCCTCACTGCATACTCGGTCAGTCTGCACTGAGGAGGAACTGGGAGGCTGTGTTTAAGGAAGCTGTGGGCTATTGGCCCTGCGTCTTCTCCACCCCACCTACCCACCCTCAGGACCATCTCCACCACCAGGTGAGCACAGAGCTACATGACCACCTGAGTGGGAAGGACCATCCCAGAGCCAGCTGGGCCCAGCAGGGCCATACCACCCTGGGGGCAGCAGCTGTCCACCTGCCCAGAACTTGGGCTGGCAGGCTGTCTCCCATCTGTCAACTGGTAGGGGATGGGAAAGGGTCTTATTGACCAGCTGGCCTCTGGAGTGGACCCAGGAGGCCTTGTCTGAAGGGTCACTGGGGGGAGTGCGGTTCATTTGCTGAGGCACCTGCGAGGAGGACTTGGGAGTTGAGCTTGGCACACAGCAGGGAAACAGCCGCTGGGAGCCAGGCCTCTGGGAGCCGCTGTCCTCCAGAAGGAATTCCCTGTCCAGCCGTCCTCTGGTTCCTGAAGCAGTTAGGCCAAGAGTCCACATCAGGTCTTGAGTTCAGGGGTCACTGGGGGCCAAGCAGGTCCCTGAAGCTCACAGCAGGTAGAAGCAAGGCTGGGGAGAGGCACAGAGGCTTGGAAGCCCAAGTCAGCAGGTGAGTGGTGGGCAAGGCCGCTGCCCCAGACAGCCTGGCTCCCCAGTATGCAGTGAGGACGTGTGGCTGGCTTCTCGTTGCTGCCCATCAGCCCTGTGCAGAGGGCGCTCTGTAGCCCATGAGAAGGCCAAAAAAGATGGGCCCCAGGAAAGCTGAGCTGTGTGGGGCCATGTGGGAGCTGGCTCGCAGCCGAGGACACACAGTGCCACTGGGCATGCTGGATGGTTCCAAGGTGGAGCCCAGAGGGATCTTGCACTCTCAAAACATCACTGCGGGTCCTGGAACCACTGGTGTGTGTCACCTCTGTAGGGCCACCTGTAGTGGCCAGCTCTGGGCCTAACTGCAGTGACCAGTGTGGGCAGAGTTCCAGGTGGGCTTCCTTTTACCTGGGTGGCTGTCCTTCCAATTGTCTAGATGTTGCCTGGTGAGAGCAGGGCCTGTGGCCATTCACACACCCAGGAGGACAGCACTGAAGTGGGAGCCCCCCCGCACCGTGAGGGAGGAGCCGCTGGCGTTGTCCAGGAAGACAGACGCATACTGCCCCGCCTGCAGGAAGGGTGCCTGTCAGGTTGAGGCTGGCCCTGCACCGAGGCCAGGACAGCCTGCAGGATGCCTGGGGCCAGTGCCCTTGCCCCTGCCCACTCTGCCTGGGCAGCAAGAGGGCCCAGGCACAGAGCAAGCATTTGTAGGCCTTGGACTTGAACCCAGCACCTCTGGCACCTAGTCTAGAGCTCTCCCCAGTGTCCTACAGTTCAGGGATATGGGAGCCAGCCCCTGCCCAGGCCAGAGTGGGATCAAGAGTCTGACAGGCTTGTGTGATGCAGGGCTTGTCTCGGGCCTGGCCTGGCGCTGTCGGCAGCACCGTGGCACTCAGAGCGCTGAGGACCACCAGCGCTGTCACTCCACACACCACCTCCTTTTGAATGAATCCACCGTCACCATAAATCCCTACCACTTGGCAGATCCCCTCAGGGCTCAGGGTTTTCTGGAGAAAACGGCCACATCCCAGGCTTCCGCTGTGGCAGTGGGCCAGGCGTCATGAAGCGCCATGCTCACGCTTCACCAGGCCCCACAGAGGGCCTAGTGGCTGGAAGTACCTACCCACCCACAGTACGGGACACCTGGGGGTCTGAGCCCTCACCTATGGCTCCAGCCCAGGCAGCGCTCCCCACAGACCAGCTGGCCCCACGCACCTGCAGATACAGGACCCCGTTCACTGAGATGGTGAGAAGCTCACTGCTGCTCTCCAGGCCCACGACAGCCTCCAGGGAGCTGTGGCCAAGACAGACAGTCAGCCTGCTCCGAGGCCCCAATGTCCCCACAGGACTGGGCTGGGCTGGGCTGAGCAAGGGCAGCAGAGGCCTGGCTCTGAGGACAGACGGGACGCTGCTGGTGCAGATGGAGGTGGCAGTGTGGCAGAGGTGATACACAGCCAGGTCAGGCCAGTCACTCCAGGGTTCCCAGAGCCATTCCTTCTCAGTGTCACCTGTTCATCTGCACCTTCTCCCCACGTGCAGAGCACCTGTAGTGTGCCTGGGCTTAGTCCGGGTGCCAGGGAGATAGGGAGCTGGTAGAGGCTGCCCTCATGGTCCAGATGCAGTACAGATGGGGACACTAGCCATAAGGAATGGATGTCATCATGGGAAAGAAAGTTCACAGGGTAGGGGTGGCCAGGAAATGCCACTCAGGAGGTGGTGCTATTGTCTCCCTCTGGCCCCTAGATGAGAGTTCCCTGTTAGGGGGCACAAGGAGGCAGAGGCTGGGAAGGACCAGGTCTCCCGGGTGTACCCTGAAGTGGGCAGGATAGAGTGGCAGTGGGCACGGAGGTAGGGGGCCGCCAGGTGGGCTGGGGAGGCCAAATGTGCGCCCAGAGCTTGGGCAGGGCCCACTCACACGTTGTGCTGGCAGCGAGACTGGATGCAGATGAGCAGGCGCAAGCGGTCCCGGGGGCGCAGAGGCCCGTGCCTTGGCTGCTCAGCGAGTGCTGCGGGGAGGGCAGGTGGTGGTCACATGACAGCGGCAGGAGCCAGGGCGGTGGGAGGCCCCCCATGCCCCGGGCCTCACCCACGTGCAGTGTGGCAGCCAGAAGGTAGAAGCCAGCCACGGGCGCCGTGTATTGGCCGCTGGTCAGGTTCAGGCCCAGGCCGCGGCGGAAGGCACCCTCGGAGTCAGGCTGTGGGGTGCAAGGTCGGTCATCCCGGGTGCTTGGTCCTGTGTACCCACTGGGCTCACGCACCTGACTCACCACGTAGTAGATGCCGAGCTCGTGCAGTGTGCGGCGCTCCACAGGTGCGTCCCTGCGCAGGCGGCAGAGGAAGGCCGCCTCCACACGCCTAGCCAGTGGGCCTGGAGCCAGGGGCGCAGCCAGCAGCGCCAGCATGTCCCYGGCCGCCGCCTCATCCTCAATGGAGCCGGGGGCGGGGCTTGAGCCCCTGGTCTCAGCCAAACACCGAATGCAGGGCTCAGGCTTCGTGCGTTCATGCTGCTGCACTGCACCTGGCACAGAGTGAGGTGGGCATATGGGGGCTGCCTCACCTGCCCACCCCAAAGGTTGGAGTTCCCTACTCGACTGCAAGGCCTGGGGAGTCTTGGCTTCCCATCCTGCAGCTGCAGTTTCCCTCCAGCTCCTGGTCACAGGGGATACAGCCCTCTCTGGGCAGGGGTGTCCTACACCAGCACCCTTTCCCCCAGCCAGGCCTCTTTTGGAAAGCAGATGCATGTAAGTTACTACTGCAGCTATATTGGCAATCACGCAGAGTTCTCTAGCCACCGAGGTGGTATTAAAAAACAAACAGCACACCAGGTGCAGTGGCGCACGCCTGATATCCCGGCGTCTCCAGAGGCTGAGTCAGGAGAATGGCAAGTTCAAAGCCAGCCTCAGCAACGGCAAGATACTTAGCAACTCAGTGAGACCCTGTCTCTAAGTAAAATACAAAATAGGGCTGGGATGTGGCTCAGTGGTTCACTCTGAACAGGAGGGGTCTGAAATGGCCCAGTTCATCCTAACAAATCCAGAGCCGGTAAGTGATATGGGCCAGGCTGGCTGCAGCCCACAATCCCGGGGCAGGACTCTGGACTCCCAGCTAGAGCACTTGGTGGTATGCCTCTCTTCCTCTGTGAAGCCTTTTCCTCACCATGCCCCCACCCCCAGACCCTACCTTTGGCATACCTAGGCTGGGCCAGTCAGGTGCCACCTCAGGAACTAAGTTGCTAAGTTCTGCCCAAACATGGATGCCCAAACCCTGGTGCACAAGATAGCCAGGGTGGTAACCCTACCTTTCAGCAGCAGCTGGAACTCCTTCAGCAGTGTCTCGGGTAGGATGAGGGGCCCTGGGGGGCCCTGGGGGCCAGGTGGTCCTCGGGGCCCTGGCAGGCCAAGCTGGAAGGGAACCTTGGCTGTGAGGACATATGAAGAGGCAGCTGGGTGCCAGGGGCATTCCCTCTGCCAGCTCCTGCCACAGACAGGCAGGAGAGCACCCAGTAGCTGTGGGATCTCAACCCCTTGCAGTCAATGAAAGCTGTTGGCCCTGGGCAACTTCAAGGCTGGGATTGGACAGGAGCTGTGGGACTGGCTGTGGGTAGCCCTGTGGCCGGCTGTGGCCTACCCCTCCCTGGTGTTCCTGGAGGGAGGGGGACTACAGGCAGCTTCTAGGGACTTGCACCTCAAGTCAGTCAAGACACTAGTACTGCATCTGGCTAGTACTAGTGTCCAGGGCCTTCCAGGAGCCCACACTGGCCTGGGTCAGGACCCAACACAGAAGGGAGGAAGTTTGCTGCATGGAGCAGCTTGGGGCAGGGCCAGGTGGTTCAGAAGGAGACGGGTGGGCGAGCACAGTAACAGCGCAGCACCTCTCTGCACACCAGGCTCAGAGCTGGCATTCCACACTTGGCACAGTGAGACTGGCTCTCCATGGATAGAGAAGCCCAGCGCTCAGTACGGGCAGCACAGCACTGTCCCGAAGCTCCTGTCTCAGAGGACACAGCCCTCACTGGGGCTCAAAGCAGGAGTTAGCCACCAAGCCAAGCACCGAGTCCCAGCCTAGGCCAGGCCCAGGGCTGAGTGAGAGCCGGGCCCAGCAGAGGCCTCTGCAGCACGCTCCACACAGTTGGGCAAGGCCCCTCTCCAGGACACAGAGGGGAGAGAAGAGGGCCTGGCACACCAAGGGTGTGGGTGAGTGGTGAGGACCAGGCCCTAACTCGGGGCACCCGGGCCTGGCCAGTTCCTCTGCATCCCTGCGCCAGGTGTGTGGTCTCAGAGCTGAGTGCGTACACCAGAGGCAAGGGGTCCAGGCTACTCACCTTCGGCCTCCTGGCCTTGCCCTTGCTCCTCCTCTTACCATTGATACCCTTGTCACTCTGCCTGACAAAGAGCATCCAGGCATCCCTGGGGTCGACACTGTGCGCTGGCTCCGTGGTGGGCTCCTGGAACACAGCCAGCCCGGGAGGTTGGTCCCCCTCACCTGGCGCCTGCTCGGGCGTGCCCTCCAGGTGTGACCATGTGCAGCACTTCCTTCAGCACCCTGGCCCTGGACATGTGCTCTCAAAGGCAGCACAGCCCCTGCCCCTCTCCTTCTGGCCCACGGAGGACAACTCCTGGGGAACATGTCACACCACAGCCCAGACTGCACCGGTGCGAGAAGCAGGCCCTGCTGCGGAGAGAGGAAGGTGGGGCACAGGGTCCGCTGCACATGTGCATCAGCACTGCAGGCGGGGCAGCCTCAGGATGTCCAGGGCTTCCTCAGGATGCACTGGGACAATCACACTGTCCTCTTGACAGTCACCAGGAGGATCACAGCACCAGCACCCACTGGTGCTCAGGAAGAGGCAGCTGATAATGAGACCTCCACTGCCACAGACCCTGCTCTCTCTCCTCCACTGGCACAAGTTCCAGCAAAGCAATGCCACCAGGGCTGCTGCCGGGCATGAGGCACAGGGGCAGGGGCTATCCTATCTGCCTCTGACCCAAGCAAGGACATGGCACTTCCAGAAATGTCCATTCCTGCAAGTGCAGCATCTGACAAGTCTCAGTGTGGAGCAAAGCTCTGGTGGAACCTGCTTCCTGGGAAAGGCTTCTGGCCTGCTGGGCAGCGAGCCTCGGGCAGTCTGGGTTCCAGCAGGGGTGCCAGCTGGGAAGGAAATGGCCCAAGAAGGCTCAGATGAGGTCATGGGGCTCCAGTGGTTGGTGACAAGACCCCAGGTGTCAGAGTTGGCCAGGCCCTTTTGTCAAGGACAGACCCAGACACCAAGTCCCAGCCTTATGGGTTCCCAATGCTCTGCAGGGACTCAGGGCCTTCCTCTGGGAGCTTGCCAACCAACCCACAGGCCAGGCTGCTGTGCTGAGAAGATAGAGGCTTGGGGGTTGGAAGAAACTCAGGTGCACCCCCACCCACATCTTACAGGGCTGATGGTTGCTGGTGATTCTTTTGCATAGCCTCCTGGTATCCTGGGTGGCATGAGGATTTCCCACACAGGCCAGGGGGGGATGTTGGGCTTACCCTCCCTGCTGGGCCAGTGGCCTGTGGATAGACTAGACTTGTGCTGGTTTGGAGGAAGAGCTGCAGTGTGTAGTCGGGGGCCCAAGGATTTGGGCCTGCAGTAGTTTTGGTGTGGGCTGGGCAGCTGCCCCGACCAGCCAAGTTCTCCAGCCGTAAGGACTTGCTCAGAAAGAAGCCTTGGAATCTCAGCAGGGCAGAAGAGGAGGGTGGTCTGCTGACACCTAGACCCTCCAGAGATCCAAGGTCAAATCCCACTTAGAAGCCCTGAGCCTCTCTCTGCCTCCCAGTGACCCTGAATCTGTCTGTCTGCCCTTTGAGTTCTTGGCCCATGCCTAAGCATATGTGGTTCATCCCGGGATGAAGGGCTCTGCAGAGGGACCTGCAGAGGGACCCCCAGAGCTGGCTGCAGTCTCCAACCTTCCTTAGTTGACCCCTTCTTGGCTAAGCACAGTCCTAAGTGGATACTTAGGACTGAGGATCTGGCCTGAGGCTTCCCTGTGTGAGGCTCAGCACCTTCAGTCCAGAGACCCTGGGTGCCCTCACTGCCCTGAATGAAAGGCCCCATCCGCCCAGAGGGCACCAGCGAAGGGCTATCAACCCTCCCTTCCAGGCCTCTGGCCACACCCTCCCCCAGGGGCTCACCACCCCAGCATTTCAAGCCCTAAAGCTGGGAGAAAGGAGCAGGGCAGGGCTTCCAATCACCCCTCACTGCCAGAAGTCATGGACAAGATGCCAACACAGGCCCCCAACCCTGCTGTCCCTTCCTCAGAGCGGCGGGGAAGCACTTCTGTCACTGCTCCCCCTTGACAAAAGGCTTTTCTTCCCACTTTCACCAGAAGCAAGTCACTGGCGCGCAGCGCTGGGACGGTCTCTCCCGACCCCCTTCCCGGCCTGGGGGCTGGTGGGTGGTGCAGGTGGAACCCCGGGCAGAGCTCTGCCACCGAGCCACACCCCAGCCCCCACTCGGAGAACCCGACACCCACCGAGGTCGGGCTGCGGGCGGCAGCGGCTGTGCGGAGCGCCCCTCCCCGCCCCGGGCTGGCGCGTCTTACCGGGCGGGCGGGCGGCTCGGCCCCGGGCGGCGGGCGCGCGGGGCTCCCTGCGGGCGCGCCGGGCTCCGGGTGGCCGAGGCCGGCGGCGGCGGTGGTCAGCAGGCCAGCGCACACGAGCAGCAGGCGCGCTCCGGCGGGGCGGCCGGACGGGGCCATGCGCGCGGCGAGCGAGCGGAGGGCGGCTCCGGAGCGGCGTCGCGGGGCCGGGCCTGGGCCGCGCCTTATAACGCGGAGCCCCGCCGCTGCCCGCCCCGCCCCGCCCCTGCTCCCGCCGGGCCCGGTCCCTCTGGTCGTCCCCACCCTTAGGCCTCGGAGACCCCAGCTGAGCACGTCGAAGTGGACTCTTGGGCCGCTTTTTCCAGTCGGGAGCCCCTCCCTCCAGGACGCCCTGAATTCAGGTGGTGCCCACGTCGGATGCACCCGGAGGCCCAGGGTCATGGGGCCAGTCTGCCAAGAGGGCAGCTGCCCAGAACTGGTGGGGGCCCAGGCTGGGAGGAATGACCCCATATTATGCTGCTATGGATAGTGTGGGGGGCGGACCTGACCCAGCTGCCCTCTGTCCATCAGCCCCCAGGGTCAGTGCCGGGCACCGCACCCCGACAGGTGGAGCAGCCCTGCGAGCCTGGAATGGTTCCGTTCAGACCTTTTTGGCTGGGCGTAAAGGAGGGGAGTGCGCACACCTGGATCTCTGTGCGCCTGGCGGGCACACGGCGCCTTTCGATAGAGTCGGGGCGGGCACAGCTGGCATGCTCCCTCCGCCATCCACCCCAGGGATGGTGGGAGCGTGGACCAAGGACCGCGGGACGCGGAGAACCAGGCAGGAGAAGGGCCCCTCCCGCCACATTCCACCTGGCTGGCTTAGTGCCAGGAGATGACAAACAGGAAACACTGCCCTGAGAAAAGGCACTTAAAAAATTATTCTGTTGCTGTTGTTGTTTTGTTTTTGTTTTTGTTTTAGTTATAGGTGGACACATATCTTTGTTTTGCTTATTTATATTTTTGAGTGGTGCTGAGGATGGAACTCAGTGCCTCACAGGTTTGAGGCAACTGCTCCGCCACTGAGCCACAAGCCCAGCCCACAAAAAGAGGCACTTTTAGTTGTAAATCATCCAGAAGAACTCTGCCTCTCTTCCCTGGGGAAATGCTCCAAGAAGACACCCGGCCTGCCCTGAGCACGAGGGTCTCAGGTCCCTGGCAGGTCAGGACTGACAACAGGAGGCTCTGCCCTTAACACTGACACCCAATGTCTTTAAATATCACCATGGAATGAAAAAATGTCGGTTCCTGTGGGAATCACAGATCTCTAAGAACACATCTGAGAAGCATCGACCTATGAACGTGTGCTCAGCAAAATGCCTGAATTTATTTTATCTGGAGACTTGTGGTGGATTAACCCCAACGAGAACATTGGCTCCCAAATCCACACAGGGAACGGGGGGCGCTGCTGGGTGCCCTCGGAGCAGGGCCACTGCCTGGCAGGTTTTCACTTCTGCTGGGGGCGGGGCATGACGGCTGGCAGCCTGGCCAGTGGAACTCTGCCAGAGCAGGTCCAGGGGTGCTGGGGCCTGCGCCCCACTGTGAAGCAAGTCAGGCTGGTTCCGTTCCCTTGTTCAGGGAGCCTGTGGACCCCAGGACCCTAGGAGTTCCTGTCAGAACCTGCAATCTGCTGTGCAGGGCCCCGCCTGGGGGTGCAGCTCTGTGCGGGCAGGTACCCTCCTGTTTCTGAAAAGCTTTTCCCGGCTCATGGACTAGTCCAGAGAGGTGGCCGGCTTGCCCAGGGATGCACAGCCCCGAGGCAGTGCTGGGTTTTCGTGGGGGGGGGGGGCAGGCCTACTTCCCCAGTGGGTATGGTCAGTTCTTTACAGCCCTTTGGGGGTCTTCCTCCTTCAGCTGTGGGATGCTGAGTTCTCCTGCGGTGTGTTTGGGGCTGTGGAGGCTGGCGGCCCTGTCTTCTCCCTGTGCCCCCCACTCCGTGCGCGCTTCCTGCAGGGCCTTCCCCTGCTCCCAGCTCTGTCCCCTTGGGCAGCACAAGGGCTCTGTGGAAGAGGGGAAGCATGACTCTTCAGCTGCTGGGTGACTTCTTTCCCTTTCACAGTGTGGAGCCCGAGGGCACAAGAGCCAGCATTGGGGACAAGAGCCATGGCCCTGTGAAAAAAACCGTGATTTTCCCAAACAGGGAAAAATCCTAGTGATGTCATGGGCTCTGCCCGAGGGCCCAAGTCCCATCGGTCATGGTGCTGGGACAGCCTGCTGGAACATTAGCCTGGGCGTGTGATGGGCCTGGCCTGGGCCTGGGCTCCCACCTCCTGGCAGCTGGCTCTCAGAGAAGGTGGGAGGCCAGGTCGCTCTTGCGGCCCACCCCATAGGCGCAGCCCTGGTTCAGAGGCAGGGGGGGGGGCGGGGGCGGGGCCTGGGGTGGAAGTCCTAGGTTGAATGAGTGGCCACGGGATGGGCCTGCAGAGCAGGAGGAGGCCCCCAGCCTGCCCGCCTGGCTGGAACCTCCCCCTCCCTCTCGGGCCCTGGCCTGGCCTCAGCCTGGCTGCCCGGCAGCCTAAGGCGGCCAAGTGATTCCCACTCCCCTCTCTTTCTCCAAAGGAAGGCCCTGGGCCGATGAGGTCATGGGAATAAAAGCTCCCTTTGCCCCCAAAACAGTGGGAGTCTGCAGTCAACTTGTGTGGCCCCCGCCACCCCCCCATCGGCGTGCACATGGGACCACCAATGCTTGAATCCCAAGATCATCCCGTCACGTGGATGGGGAAACTCAGGCTCAGATCCTGGGACCCCAGGATCCTGGCTCCAGGTCATGAAGTCACCAAACAACACGGTGTCCAGGTCCAGCCCCCCCGGCCTGTGGCCAGCAGCTGTGACGGACTCGCAGACTGAATTCAGTTCATGAATTGTTCCCTCTGTTCCTGCTCAAGCTTTGGGCACCAGGTGAGGGTGGAACCTTGTGCGTCTGGGCAGGGGCTAGGCTGTGGCAGGTCAGGGAAGAGTTCTTTCTCCCTGGGGGCCTCTTGGGCTATAATCTGCTAATGGCCTCCACGTTTTCAATCGATTAAAAAAATTAATTTAAAGAATTAGCTTTTAGCTCACAGTATAATGCAGAAGGGTAGGTACTGGTCCTGTGGGCATTCTGGTCAGGACTGATATCTACCACTTAGCCAGCACTGGGGACGGAACCCAGGAGCACGTGACCGCTGAGCTACGTTCCCAGCCCTTCTATTTGTCATTTTGAAACAGGGTCTTAGAAGTTGCCCAGGCTGACCTCAAACTTGGAATCCTCCTGCCTCAGCCTCACAAGTAGCTGGGAAGAGTCACTTTGTTGTTGATGATGATGATGAACACCAGACCTTTATTTTATTTGTTCATTTTTTATTTTGGTGCCAGGAACTGAACCCAGTGCCTCATGCATGCTAGGCAAGGGCTTTACCACTGAGCCCCAGCCCCAGCCCCAAAAGTCCCATTCTTAAATGTGATTGTGATGGAAACCGCCCCCACCCCTGAGCCTGGCAGTCCCCGAGCAGTCTGTGGGCCCTGGGAGGCCACATTGCCTTCGCGTAGGGACCCTTCCTTCAGGAAGACCCCTTGATCTCCTGGCTGGGGACCAGGAGTGGTCACCCCCACTGCAGGCCCTCCGGAGGCTGGGCATCTGGTGCCACATGGGGAGCAGGGACTGTTTTAATCACGTTTTCGCTGCTGGGACTAGAAGATCTGACCAGAAGCATCTTGGGGGAGGAGCGCAGGGTTTCAGCAGGCTCCATTCCTCAGGGCTCAAGGGGAGCAGAACATGATGGCGGAAGAGTGGCGGAGAGAAGCGCTCACAGGATGGTCAGATGCAAACCTCGTGCCCAGCCAGGCCCCAGTGCCCACCTCTGCCAGGCACCCCAGTCAGTGCCTGCAGGGACAGTTCTCCGACGGGGCTAAGGCTCTCAGGCCCAGTCACTTCCCCTCGGAACCCTCACACTGTCTCACTCGGGAGCCTCTGGGGGACACCTCACATCCAGACCGTAACAGGGACCATACGCAGGCCCTCGTGCGGGTCGTGTCCTCGCTCCCCTAAGTCCTGACAGAGTGCAGGTGCATGCTCCCCCTAACAGGCCGAGGACTGGGGGTTCACTGACCACAGGGGCCTCCAGGCTGCCTGTCCCTGTGGCTCGTTCCATGAGGTGCCTGCAGCTGACCCCATGAAGAGGCTGGGTGACCAGGGGCGGTGCGGGCAGACCGGAGCCCAGTGGACATGGCTGCAGCCCTGGGCCTCGTGGTGCGGGGCCTGGCTACTGAGGCTCCCTGGGCACCCTGGGGGCTGGGCTGCTGCAGGGGCTCTCTCCCCCAGCCCCATCTGCCGGAGGACATGCTGCACCCACTTGGCAGACGCACACCCCATGGTTGGAGGGAGCTTGAGAGCAGGGTAGGGGGTGGTGCTTGGCTGGCACACGTCCTAAAGTGCCCCATGTCCCTTCTAGAAGCCCGCATGAGCCCCAGTCCTTCTGAGTCCTGTGTTCCTGAGGTCTTCAGTAACAGGTTCAGGCTGCCCGTGGTCATCCCTGTCCTGTGTGAATGAGCATCACCCAGGGTTTGAGTCACATGCCCGAGAGTCCCCATGTGCCATCCCAGTGGCCTGGCCCCTTCCCCACCTGCTCTGCACCAGAGTGGCCTTGGTGGACTGTGCCACAGCCTCTCTTCCTTCTCTTCTGGGTTCTGGTTGGTTTGGCTGGTGCGCGGCACTAACGGGAGGGGACAGGAAAGTGAGAAGCACCTGTTCTTCCACGTCCTCCCTCAGGGCACTGCCCTCCCTCCCCAAGGCCCTCTCTGCACCACCACTGCATGTGTCCTGAACTGGGCAGCTCCGTGGACCAGCCAAGGTGTGGTTTGAAACTGGTTGGCATGTGCCCAACCCCAGAACGGCCCCCATTCCCATGCATGCTCTGGCCAGCACCCACCTTTCCCACCAGCATAAGTCGGTCTCACTCTTCAAGGCGCGGTTTTTAAACAGCCTAGAAAGGGTTCCTGGAAACTTCTGTGCAGCAAGAGTCAAGGGTCCCAGAGACCCTCGCCCCGTTTTCACCCTGTCCATCAGGCAGTTGGGTCCCTCAGGCCCTGGCTCTTTTTCTTGGAGGACCTGCTCTACCTGGGCCCAAGGTCCCAAAACTGGCATGGAAGTCAGGCCTGGGAGCAGAGTGGACCCTAACACGAACTCAGAACCCAGGGGTAAAAGCCCAGGTGCCCTGGGCTGGATCTGGAGGCCTTGGAGGGTCAGGGCAGGGCCAGTGCTAGGGCTGAGTCCTAACTTGCAGCTCATTTTCTGATGGAGACAGAGAGGGTGTGGCACTCAGACCAGGTGAGAGTTCTTAAATATGTCCTTGGTTACAAACATGGTGCCTGATTCAGGACGAGAGAGAGAGAGAGAGAGAGAGAGAGAGAGAGAGAGAGAGAGAGGAG